GATGAAGTATTTTCAAGATCTAAATGGTTTCCTGTTAAATAATGGCTATGACTGTCTTGATTTTGTTTTCTTGATGATGTTTCAGATAAAACAACAAATATTTTACTTTCAATTTATCCAAAGCTGTTTCCAGAATTTCTCAGTGTCTTATGAAGAACCCATCTCATAGCTGACTTTCCGAGTGGCATCACTTCAGATTCAGCAGCCATCTTTCTGTTCCCACAGACCAGCAGCTGTAAAATAATTAACACATTTTTGCAGTAGGTATAGGGTTCCTTGTTACACATAGTTTTTCTACAGACACACTTACCTGGAATGTCTTACTTTTCAAATTCAACTGCTCTGTGTTGGGTAGTCTTTGGGGCCGTGCTTGGCAGACAGAGGATGGGAAGGAATGACTGGAGCAGGCATCCATATGCCTGGGGAAGTTGGAGTCTTATTTTAACATCTGTACCACATGGAATGTGGTTTCAATTAGAAATTGGGAATCAATGACACTTTCAAAGAACTTTGCCCATAGTTGGTTCTTTTACTTGGGCTAGAATGGCGTATTTAATATGATCCCAGATTCTATACCACAGTGACTGGCTTACCTTGCAACCTGATTTTAGAGTTCAGAAAATAGATTCATAAACTAATAAAGTTAAGACGTGTCTGCAGGGTCACCTGTAATCTCTTTAGGCAGTATAGTTTTGAAAATTCTGAGGCCATTTCCACAGATAAGGAGATTATCTATAGGAAACTGACTTTGACAAATATCACTTGTTATGTGAAGATTAGATAGATCCATCATTCATTCAGCACATTACTAAGTGCAAGCATTCTTTATATGTATTGATAACATTATATATTTTGAGAATTCCTTATGAAAATTATAATTATGGGTTCAATATTCACACATTGTACAGTTCATAAAAAGACTTCCTCGGGGCTGGAGAGATGGCTCAGCAGTTAAGAGCACTGACTGCTCTTGCAGAGAACCCGGGTTCAATTCCCAGCACCCACATGGTGGCTATGAACCGTCCTCAACTCCAGTTCCAGAGGAATCAGAAGCCCTCTCCTGACCTCTGTGGCATTGCATGACACAGCTGCACTCACATACATACAGGCAATACACTCATACACATAAAATAAAAATAATAAATAAAATATTAAAAAAAGACTTCCTCAAGAGTTTTCACCTTTAATGGCCAAAAAATACCTATACTTATGACAAATGGATAAAAAAAATCATTAAAAATGCTATGGGGCTGCACCTGGTGGCACATGCCTGTAATCCCAGCCTTTGGGAGGCTGAGGCAGGAGGATCATGAGTTCAAAGGAAGGCTGGGCTATGCAAACAAAACCCCATCTCAAAGAGAAAGCAACACCAACAAAACACCCAGTAAGCTTGTTGCCAATCCCTTATTGCCTTGAACATAGGCATAGCTTAGTCATCTTGGCTTACCTAGCTTCTTTAACAGCACTCTCTTCTGGCAGTATACATCTATTTCATTCACTTTCAAACTTTTTTTAACAACTGATCTATTTCTCAAGAATAGAATTCAGTTCCTAAAATGAGCTTCACCTATTCACTCAGCATTGGTGCTGTGGATGCTCACTCATCTCAGTAATAAAGGAATGGACTCCTTTGCTGTCAATTATCTTAAGATAGCTATATTTGTGTAATTATCCTCCAGGTTTGATTTGGTCATCGTGATAGTATTAATCTGTCATGGTCATTCAAGAAATTCTTTACAGTTTCACCTGTGTTGTTTCTCCTGTCTTCTGGATCTTAGTTGGCCCTCAGAGCAGTGAATGCTCATCCTTGCTACAGACAAACAGTTCCTCTGCAGCTTTGCTGGCCTGCTCAGAATTCACACTAGCATCCTCACATCCATCCATTCCAAAGCATGTTTGGATGCCATCTCTGCTGGTGTGATGGAAATGGTCTGGTTCCTTGGCTGTCCCATGATTTCACGGACACAGAGCACTCTCCTACCTTACTCCTCCCCTTATCACTGCCCAAGTCTGCAACAGTGTCACAAATGTGACTCACTCAGCTCCCTCCTTACAGTGTCTGATGGAATGTTAAACTCCCAGTGTCCTAAGTAACCTATCAAAAATAGGATACTGAGTCTTAAGTCAGCCATCTTCTCTTGATCTGCTTTGGCTAGCCAAGTAACTTTCAACTTCACTAGATGGTGCCTTACATAAAAATTTCTCTGTGTTTTTATTTGCTGATCATAATTCCTCTACTAGAATATATGCTCATCAAGGCAGAAACCTTGTCTACTTTCTTCACTTCTTTGTCCCTGTCCCTATGATCTAGAAGAATGTCTGGCATACCAGAGGCATTACTTACTGTTCACAACCAAACTTAACCCAGGATGCTCAACATTCTAGCTCAATTTCTCTGTGAAACAATATTGTGCTTCATGATATTTCATCAAGAATTCTCCTGTTTTTTGTGATCATAGATGCATTAGTAGGTAAGGAATAAGTTACTGATACTGACTTATCCGTATTTACTAGAATCTAGTGCCTTTCACCCACTAAACAGAAAAGCAAAATGCTGATTTATATAAAATGCATAGCTACAATACTTGGACTGACAGATCATTAAAACAACTGGCTGACCAACCATGGGAATGATTAATGGTGTGACATTTCATTCACAGTATCTGCAAGGGCCATGCACTGGTGAGCACAGACCGCAGTTTTACTTCACTGTAAAGAGGCCTCGGCTATGCTAAAACATTTCATCTTTTTTCTTCTGAGGAAAGACAGTTCCAGTCATTTTGAAATGCTAGTCTTTTTAGACTTGAGTCTATAAGTCTGTAACACAAAATAAAGTGGGGAAAGAAAGCCCTGCTTTGCTTAAGTATTGATTCAAAAAATTTAAAAGCATTCTAACTTGTCACAGATTCATTTTACTATAACGTTAAGTTCAAGTAAAATAAAATGCATGTATGTGGAGTCAGTGATTTATTCTTAGATGGAATGTCTGGAAGTAATAAAGTTACTTAGTGATGTATTGTATTTTCTCTCATAAATAAAATATTTATAAAGGATACAACTTTCAACAGTGTAAGTGGCCTGCTTCTCATTAACCTTGTTGTTCATAAGCATTTCGTTAACAACACAGAGCTGGAGAATTGTGCTCTAGGCTCTTCTACTTCTCCATTTTAAAAAATGGTTTTAATTTATCTTAATGAGCTATCAATGAATCAGCTAATTTAGAAAATTCTGACACAACCTTGAAAGCCACAGTTAAGGTGTTGTTAAGATAGTTCTTAATACGCTGTGCTCTGCTGAGGATAGGTTGGCCAGATCTGGTCCTCACTCAGGAGATTTCAGATTGAAGGTAAAGGTACCTTGTTACATGATGCAGGAAGAGTTCAAGGAGTGGCCATGCTCCAGGAAACCTAGGCAACCTTTCATGGTCTATATTAAAAATCCAAGGTCATGATTTTTTGTGTGAACATGGAGGTCAAGACCAACTATTTATTTTGAAGTTGTCTATAGTAACCCCCAGATAGTATATTTAGATCACTTTGTGACTTCAGGAAGTATTGATCTCCATTTTAATTGAAACCTTCATTTCATACATTTCTTTTTATTTGCTTTGCCATAAATACTGTTCCTGCTTTAGTAGAAAATATTCGAAGAACAGAAAAATATTCACACTTTCCCATTAAGAACACTATCTTGTTCCCAAACTAGGATTGATTAATCAAGAAAATAGCAAGAATTGTAACTCACAGAGGATTCTTTGAGAAGATACAGAATCTTAACACCAAGCTCTCGGCCCTCAGCCCTCAACTACAATCATGCTTGCAGTTGAATTTCATCTCTGTTCTGAATTAAGGAGTTTATATCCTTGAGGACACTAAGATGCTTCAGAGTTCCCTCAGGGAAAAACTGTTTTCTGTTTCGAGTTATACAAAGCCATGAACATATTCCCATATTTGGGGAAGAAACTTATAATACTAAAAGTCATAGGGAAATACTAAAATATGTTGGTCCATCATAGGTGACCAAAAAAGACAAAATTAAATTGGTGTCTGATACTAGGGTCTAAACCACACTAAATGACTACCATGATTTAGATTAAAATCCACATTTTATTTCTTAGTCCGAAACAAAAATAATAATCTCAACTTTTAAAAATACTAGAAATAATTCCAGAATGGTGCCTCAATTTGTTTAATCAGAAAATTTCCTTTTTTTTCCATCAGCAGTATGTTGATGGTCAGTATTAAAGAAGAATGCTCTCAACACATAACAGGTTTGAGGCAGATATCCAATTCTAAGCTGTTCTGGGGTAGTAATCGTTTTTAAATTCCTGTTACATAAGGGGCAGCTGGTTGTGCACCACAGATACTGTTGAGTTCCACTCTCTTTATTTTATTGTTGGGAACTTCTAGAAAATAGAGTTGGTCCTTGGCTAAGCTAACGCTCAAACTGTGTAGATTTTTCGCAAGAATGATCAATAAATTAAAGACTGCCACATGTAAGAGGCCCTTTGTTGCCATCATCTTACAGGTTTACAAAGTATGCAGCTGAGCTCCTGAAGAAAATCAGTCAGACGTTATTTGCAGTGAGCGTTAACTTGTGACTTTTCTATAAGCATGAACCCAGTCTAAAGGGGACTTTCAGAGAATACACTCTCCTGGGAGCTTCTAAATATTTATTACCAGAATGCTTAAACCAGACTCTCAACAATGTTAACCCCCTAGGATCCAACTAGTCTAGACTCAACCTACTTAGGGGAAGTCCCAGCACACTGACAGAAGGAATGCACTAAAGTGACCCTAAAATATCTTTCCTGGCTATTATTCATAGTTAATGTTTTTAATAGTAAATGGTGTGGCCCATATAAGTTCAACCTGTTATCTGCTTCATTGGCAAAACAAATAAATAAATGAACAAACAAAAACCCCAGCAATTTTCAATTGCTCACGCAAAGAACGGGAAAAAAAAGGTGGAAACTGAATATTACACTCAAGGACAAACTATTTTAAATAAATATTTTAATTCTATTGTTGGCATTTACAGGTAGAAAGCATACAGTATATTACAGATATCAAACTGTGAAAGATACGAATGTTACATAAGTAACAAATGTAAAAAAGTTCTTTTCTTACCTTCCCTGAAAGCAAGAAAAGTTTTCAGCATAAGAAAATATCAGTATCAAAAACACAGCTCAGGTGTAAAAAAAAAGTTTTTACACAGTATTAAAAAATGACCTACAAAATGACAGAAAGTAAGAAACCTTGCAATTTGACTTTATATAAATTATAAAACTGGGTACTTGGGGTAAATGTTGAATGGCTGGAAAATAAGAAAAAATGCTTGGGTCAATTCCTTACACGTTAAAAGCATAGAACTTTCTTTTCAATAAATAACTTTTTAAAAAACTGTCTCTTAGAAGGTGCTGCTAAGAGCATCGGTCCGCAGAAGGAGTGGCTGTGTTCTGGGGACAACGTCAGTCATCTTGTTCCTTGAGGAAGCCTGAGGTAAGTCAGGAGGCTGTGACTGTTTGCACAGAGATACCCAAGTGTCAACACAGTTTTGTAAGAAAGCATTAAAGTGCCGAACAAAATGACTTAATCTTAGTACCCACCGTCATGGAAAATAAGCAAACACTCAGCCATGTCTGAGCAACACTGCATATGGAAGCTATACATCTGAAGTATTAATACATAGTCTTTCATCCAAGGATGTGAAGGCTCCTTCCTACACTTTACAAGGGATGGTTAAACCTAAGTGAACTTGCAATGGAAAACACAATTATAATACTACAATGGAAACAAATACACACACCCACTGTGAAAGCACAAGTTCATGTCTGCAACAGTAACAGTATTAACTGCAAAACCCGCAAACCAAACACTGGTAAAGAAGCAAAACTTCCCAAATGCTGCATGCCCCAAACTCATCACAAAACACAATGCATGCAGAAGGATGGTTCATCTAAGCACATTTAAATTAGAGTCATTTGAGTCTGTGTGAGCAGCTTTGTGGTTATTATTTTAAACATTTCCCATGGCCACTAGTCTATACTGGCCTGTTCTACAAAAGCGACCCAATCTAGTGGGCAATGGCACAATGCTTTGTGTGTTGCCAAGTAGGTATACCTCACACATACTGTTCTGCCTCCCCGTCTTTGGGGGCTGGCTTAGTTGTCCCACCTTTACCTTCTTCATTACCTGCTGCCTTTTCTGGGAGAGAAGCCAAATCTTTAAAGACATCCACGTAATGGCCAAAGCCCGGCCCCCAGTTCAAAAGGTTGTCCCAGCTGAAATTGCCTGCTTGCTGCCCAAGCTTCAGGGTACTGTCAGAGGCACCAGGAGCTGCTGAGGGAGTGCCTACAGGACCCCCCTCAGCCCTGCGGCCGTGGTACCTTCTGGGCTTCAGTCTGGCTGCATAATTATCTTCATCATCCGCATCTGATTCATTGACTTGCGATAACTTGGGCATCCTAGAGGTGTGGACCATGGGCTTCTCCCGGTCATATTCCATTTCAGAACATGTGAAGGAATCGTGGGAGTCACTGTCAGAAGAAGATTCCGGAGCAGGGATGCCATCCGCTGGGTTCCTGGTTCTGGACAGGGGTCTTCGACAGTCTTCCTCTGAAGATGACCTCCCGTGGTCTGCACTGCAGATACTGGGGTTTCTGGGGCGAGGGGTGTTGAGCCTTTCCACCTCTTCAATGGAGAGTCCCACTGGAGGCGATGATTCAAGAGGGATCTGTGCAATTGGCTGTTTGAGGCGACTCCCGGGTCTCGAACCGTGGGAAGCCATGGCCTGGGGACTCTTGCTCCTCCTCCCCAGCCTGGTGGCATAGTTGAACACGCCAGGAGGGCAGCTGTCACCATGCATTTCCAGAGTACTGCCATCTCTCAGAGGAAGGTGAAGTTCCCGAGCCGGGCTGTTCCGGTAGAAAGTAGAGGATTTGGAGAAAGGAGCTGGGCTGTGCCTAGACAGGGGGTTGGGAGTGGGACAGGCCGAGTGACTGAGAGAGCTGGTTCTCAATGCCTGGCCATAGGCAGAAGGCTGGTAGGTCAGACTGCTTGCTCCCAAGGGCATGGGGGACTGCCTGGCGAAGCCCAGGGGGCTGTGCCTCTGGATAGAGAACTTGGGAGTATGGCTGCGAAACTGCTTGTAGTGTTGGATGATGTCTGCGTCCGAGGGGGCAATGCTGCTGGCATTATCAATGTCATAGTGCTCGATCTCCTGCTCCGGGGAAGCCAGTGGGGCGCTGGGAATGGTCTCTGAGGTGTGGGGGATGTCGGTCTCGTCGTAGATCAGGTAAGGATTCTCCCTCTCAATGATGTCAGGCTTGGGATTCCCCTCGGGTTGCTTCCTCACTGCCAAGTCATCCCCGTAGGGTGGGATGTTGTCTGGGTCATCAAAAGCAACATTCTCACTGCCTTTTTTCTTTTTCTCCTTGGGTTTCTTCTCTTTGGAGTTTTTGGGCTTCTTTCCCCTGCACTGATTACACAGTATCAAGCCGAGGACCAGCAATGCCAGGACCGTGGCACAGCTACCCACGATGGCAGGCACGGCCCACAAAGGCAAAGAGATCTCTTCCGGGCCCTGAGTCGGGACACACACGTGTCCCCCAGGACTCCCAGCCTTGCACACTTTCCCCTGAGGACAGAGGACGCCAAGGCAGGCCACTACCGTCTCGCAGGTCCTCCCAGTGTGTGACTCTGGGCAGCTGCAGGTGAAGCCTGAGTGTAGGCCTGGCTCGCAGCTGCCACCATTCTGGCAGGGGTGGGATGCGCAGTCACCTGGGGGGACACACTTGTAGGCATACCACTGGTTGATACAAAGCAGGTCACCCCAGCAGGGGTTGCTGGCACATATGTTGGGACCCCGACAGCCAATCTTCACCGAGGGATCTGTTTTGGAGATGGAAGCCAAGCTGTGTTTCCCGCTGAAAGGCAGACTCTCTTTACCATAGAGCACCGATGCGATGCAGCCATTGAAGCCTGTAGGAAAGTGGAAGGAATTTATAGAAAATCAAAGGCTTCTGCCTCAGAGTGCTAAGATATGGAGACAAAAATTCCCGCCCCCTCCCTCCAGTTCCTCAGGAGGGTCTCGCAGCCACCCTTTTGCTCAAAGGATGCATGTTCTGATAAAACTCAGGATGCCTGAGAGTTTTGGTCAGCCTTCATGGGCTACTGCACAGCCTGAATATATTGGGGTGACTCAGGCAGCCTGGATTTTCTTCATCTCTCTTTTTACCTATTTAATTAATCAATTTGATTCTTACGATCTGTATATCAAAAGTTACACAGAAACCAAACTTATTTCTTAAAAAAACTCAAAAGAGAGCAAAACACACGTCAACTGCTTGAACTACATGTGTTATCAACAAACTGACAGGTCTCCCGAAGACTCAGACACAGGTTCCTATGGAGCTAAAGAAAAATCCTGGCTACTGCAGCACTTGGAGGATTCCAAAGAGAGAAGGGTATAACTGTGCCAGGTTGTCAGGACACAGGAGATGGGAAAATTGACTCCAGAAGTCCCTTGATGGGCATAGGGGCACACAACTTTAATCCCAGCACTTGGGAGGCAAATACAGGCAGATATCTGGGAGCTCAAGGCCAACCTGGTATACATGGTAAGTTCCAGGCCAGCCAGGGCTACATAGTGAGGCCCTGTCTTTAAAAAAAAAAATTGGGTCTGACAGTCTCTTCTGACCTCCGCAGGCATTGCATGACACGGATGCACTTACATACATGCAGGCAATATACGCACACACATAAAATTAAAGAAAAAAAATCATGCTGTCAGATAAGAGAGTCCAGAGATAACTGGACTGGAGGTGATGAACAGCCTTGGCCACTAGGCTTCTGAAAAGTACTATGTAAAGGGATGAGACAGTCTTTCAATGGTTTTATCCAAGATTGGATTTTGGATGATGTAGTGCCACAATATTGGACTCTGACTTTGTTCTGGGGAGAGAGGTGAGGAAGGCGAAGAGTGAGATGTCATTCTTTTGAGTGCGATCGTCTCTGCAGAGAAGAGCCACAATCCTATTTCTCAATCTGGAAATGGGCCGATCCTGGGCCAGGAAGAAGGGCATGGCGGGCCTCTTTTTGGTCTGTTCTTGGGTCAGAACTCTTGGCAGAAGGACACTCTGAAGAGGGCCACACTGTCTCTCAGGTGTGGGAGCACCTGGAGGCAGGAAGAGTAGGACTATCTGGGCAGTCTGCAAAGGGGTGTGGACCTGAGTATGTAGACAGTACCCAGGTCCTTACTGTGAGCCCTTAGTTCCCACTCATAGATTGTGTTCTCTTGAAGTGAATAACCTTTCTCTTCATGTTGTGCTATACATAGAAATTTTATGACACCTAATAGGGCACTGCATTATTTTCAGAATAGCAGTCTATCACACTGTATTATATTCAGTATCTATCAGTATCTATCACACTGCATATTTGAGTGTGGCAGATACGATTTACTCCATTCTATGTGAAAGAGGTCTCCAGACAATGTTTATTTTAAAGCAAGATGAGACAACAGCAGATTATGCACTCCCACTGAGAAGAAATATTGCCAATAAATCCAGTAGATGGAGGACTGGGTGTTGATCTAGTCAGGTTCTCTAACATGCGATAACTCACTTTGAAGGTTTGTGAAATAAATTCAGCCTTAAACTTGCTAAAAAAAAATTCTTAGTAGTGATAATGATGAGGTTGACTAAGAAGTCCTTCCTTAGATTTGATTGCTGTTCAGGCAGCTTCTGTGTAAAGGCACAAGAATTTAATTTGACTAACAAACCAGCAGTGTCTACATTGGTTTGGATTCCTACAAAACCCAAATGTTAAAGGCTTGTGAGCTGGAATTTAATTTTTCCGCCTTCATTCTCTTACTCTGTGACACATTTTTGTTTTGCTTTGACACACCTTCACACCCAAGAAGTCTAAAGTACTCGTTTCAAAAGTTTCTTGGGTTTTGTTCCTGGATTTCTTTTTCTTAGTTTCCTCTTTTTGAAATGTTCTTCTTTTTTAAATAATATCTTTTTATTCTTTGAAAGTTTCAAACATTTACACTGAGCCATTCTTCTTTAAACAGCCCCAGGCTTTCTGCCCAGTTTATACCCTTACCTCAGGGATGGAGCCACTGAACAGTCCTGGAGCTGCATCTCCAGCCTGAGTCTACCCCTCAGTCCAGCCCATCTATTCAAAGTCCTTTCCCAGATGCATTTCCATAGCAAAGTTGTCCTGTGCCTTGCTGTTTTGTTCTCTTCTGCAGTTCACTCTTGGTGACACCACCCTGGCTTGAGTGAAAACTCAGAATCCTTCCCAAATTTATTTAAATTGCCAACAGTTTGGTTGACACTGCTTTCCAGAATACTGAGGTTGATCCACTTTGATTTTCCTCTACCTGCGTCATCCTGTTAGTCAGAATTCAAACAATAACTAGTGTAGGGCCAATCCCATAATGCCTGCAAATCTAGCATTCTGTGAGTCCTCCAAGTCACCTTCAGAGCTAGTCTGAAACTACTTGCCTAACCTCAGTACTCTTGGGATTAAGATTTTTAATGACTTCCCATCATCCTCAAGTATGATAAACACTTCACAGTTCCTTTGAGAACATCGTGCTTTATCCTCCAGCTTTGTCCTCTGTCAGGGGCTGCAGTCACCCATGAAAACTTCTTTTTAGATATTTCTCACTAAACTTTAAAAACTTATTTTTAAAACTTTCCCACATGCTTTTCGTCATCTGATGTAAACACATATAAGTTTCTGTTTTTTTTTTTTTTTTCTCCTTCACATCACTGATCCAGGACATCTAGATTCCTTTAAGGACTTGCTTGATGGTTGTAACCCTGGTCTCCTGTGCTTCCTGGCCTGAGACTGTGCCTGAGCAACAGAAGTTAGCATACACAGGCCTGAAGGCAAACAGAGCATCAAAGTACTGCATGCTCTGCTCAACTCTGATCTCCAGAGCAAGCAGCTAGACAAGAGACTACTCTTGATCACTGAACATTTTCTGAAGACATGTTCATCTGAGCATATTTATGCCTGGCAGGAACAGAAATCCAGTCACTTTTGTAAAAACACATTGTACCAAAATTGCTCTGTATATGGGATTCATATTAGATAAGTTAGATTTTACGGCCTGGCAGGAACAGAAATCCAGTCACTTTTGTAAAAACACATTGTACCAAATATATGGGATTCATATTAGATAAGTTAGATTTTACCCGCTGTTGCCACCAAATTCACCTATACTTTAGGACTAAAGTTTCCTTTCCTTTAGGGCTCTCTTACACATAAGCCTTTACCTGTCTGTGTGTCTCGATGGGCTTGGTTGGGTGGGATTCCACCAAGAGAGATGGTGAGCACCTCGAGGCCACCAAAGTCCTGAGTGAGACGGATAATATCTCTGTTATATATTCCGTCCACAGACAAAGCTGTGGTGCTTCCATTTTTCGCTATTCGGAAGGTGTGCCAGTGGCCATCAGAGACATACACTTCCGGAATGTTTCTCTCCACTTTCCCGGCAACCCCTGCATCTGACGTGAAATGTACTTTTCCATTCTTAATCTGTAAAACATATAAAAAATAATGTACAAGTAAAACATAATATCCCTAAATACAAAGAATTTATTTAAAATATTGACCAGTCTAAACTAACTGGGCTATTTGAGGAGTCAGGTTGTGTTACAGTGCATTTACACATGTGCTTGCTGTAATTCTAGAAACACAAGTTCATACTTAGTAGTTTCAATAGTTTTTAATTTTATACTTAGGTCCTCAAAGGACACAGAATTTTCTAGAACACAGCTGAAATAATAAACTGAAAACCTAACCTAAATAAATTATACCATTTGTGATTATTTGTATTTCAAGGGCAGTGGCAAGCACAATAAGTTAGTCAGTTCAGTAAAAAGGCCTAAAGTGATAGAAATATAAAGTATAAAATATAATGTGATAAAATAAAACAGCATTAAAGATCACGTGCAAAACCAAAAATGAATGCTGAGCTATCAAATGTAGAATAGTTGGAGAAGCAAAGACAAGAGTAGTTTTCCTTCGTCTACTACACGCTGAGATTTTAGAGAAAAAAGATGCTCACTATTTTATTTCTGGGTATAAATGACCACACAGCTACTAATGAAGGCAGGACTTCACTGGCTGTCTCTTCAGTTCATCTAAAGGTATCAAATTTTTTTTACTTCCCCCAGTAGAACATGGGGTAATGGGACACGCAGACTCCAGTTTCTAGCTACCAAGTTTCCATTGTATGAGGAGCACCCTTCAGAAATAAAATAATTCATGAGGTAACAGGAACACTGGGGTCAGAGAGCATGGTGTCCTGGCACGGTGGTGAAGTGGCCGAGAGCACACTCATATTGGCACTGCCAGAGAGGACTGATGAAATGGTACAGAGGTGAGGTGGCCCTCTCCTGTGGGTGATGGGGTAAAAGTATGGTTCAGCTGAGCACTCAGACATGCTATTTTCACATGCAAAAAACACTCTTGGAGAACTAAAAGTCAGTTCATTTGTGCTTTGTAGAAAATATGTTTAATACATTTACATATGCTTATCATGCAATAATACCTTATTAGTGCAATATTTCCCAATACAAAATGTTCAGTTAGTAAGAGTTCTTTCTCTGTAAGCATGAGCTTGAATCCCCCAATACCCACTTAAAAGCTGGGCGTGACCACATGCACCTGAAAGCCCAGCACTGGAGGGCAGAGACAAACAGATCTTGGCGATTCCTGTATAGCCAGCCTAATCAAAATGGTAGCTTCCAGTTCAGTGAGAGACCCTGTCTCAAGGCAGTAAGGCAAAGAGAGAGGAAGATACCTGATATCTTCCTCTGGCTCCAATGCATGCCCCCCTACTCATGTGCCCCCCCAACACACATACACACATACAGTGTTTTAGAACCAAACTCAGATAGGAAATAGTTGCTATTCTAATACAATGATAATACAATTTTATGAAACAAACAAGACTTATGGTCCATGGTGACAACAGCAAAGCTGCCTGAGTTTCAGTAAAAGGCCTGTCTGAAACGCAGCACTAGGAAGTGAGTGGCCCCTCCCAGCCATGTTTCCCCTATAGGATTTCTCCACATCATCTTTCTGTTCAATGAATTTCTGATTAGGGGCACTTACAATAAGCCACAGTGGAAGTGCAGTAAATGAGTGCCTAAACCCACACTCACAGCCTTCACATCTTCCTGCTCCCAAGAACACTGCACCCCACATTTGTCTCCTTCCTGACGTTCCACATACCATGCTAATGTCACTTTATTACTTACTTGTTTGCTTACTTATGAATATAGATGTCTTCAAACCCCTTATTCTTACTCTGTGCAATATGTCTACTTCACTTAAAACAAAACCCTAAAATTGATGTGAAGCACATTAAAGCCCCACACCTCCTTGCATAAAGGATTCCAAATCCCAGCCACATGATACCTCGAGACGTAGGGAGGTCATGGATGCTTTCCAGATGGGGTCAACAAGTGTTGCCCTTGTCAGTGAAGGTCTCTCTTCTTAAATTACCAAAACAGATCCAATCTGCTCTAAGCTTTCTCCCTCTGCTCCTCTCAGTCATCTGATGCACACGCTCATCTCTAACTCCCAGAAACCCTTTCACCCAAGTCTTTCTTATTTTTACCTTCTTTAGTGTCTGCCCTCATATGTGGGTGTGGGTATGGGTGCAGGTATGTGTGTTTGAGAGAGAGAGAGAGAGGTGTATGAAAAGACAGGGAGAGGGAGAGGGAGGGAGGGAGGGAAGAAGGGAGAGAGAGAGAGAGAGAGAGAGAGAGAGAGAGAGAGGGAGTTTCTGTGCAGGAAAACATAAGAAAGAAATGATAAAATGGTGAGCCAAAAGAAAAAAAAAAAAAGAAAGCCAGGGTTCCTGGACACTGACTCACCAGCTGGCTGGAACAGTGAGTTCTGGCTCCTCGTGGTTACGTTCTACCATTCTGTCTCTGCCTACAGCAGCCATGTTCTCTGGTCTGTTTAATTACTTTTATTGGCTGTTTTTTTTCTTTATCTACTTGTTTCACATGCCAAGGTCCTTATTTATGAAAACCTGCTACATAAAATTTTTATATGCCAACTGTCACGACTATTAATCAGCAGTTATTTTGTCTAATTTTTTGCTGCTGCTGTGACACCATGTTAAGGAGTCATGTGCTGCCATTCTATTGGACTTCATAATGACAAAAACAGATACTGACATTCAGCTTCTTTCAGGGAGAAAAACATTATCTTTTCTTTAACTCCACTTTATGTTGACTGAATTCTCTGACTGAAGGGGCTAGCACAGGGATAGTCATATGTCATCTAAATGGCACTGTGACTTGAAGGCAGCCTAACAGATAATCACATGCAGAAATCACACATGGAGACTATAGTGTTGCCTCTCAGAACAGAAGTGTCCCGTGTGAAGTCCACTCCTGTCCCTGCCAGAATCAAACTGTTCTGAGTGGAAGAGTCCTCTCTCTTTAATCATGGCTTTATCCACAGCTTCTGCATTCATGGCTTCTAACTTGCTTTTCAGGGAAAATTATAAACAAAATTGAGTGTAATGTAATGGTTTCTTTGTTCTGTTTCACAGTGGTTTTATTAATTGGGGAACCTAGACATTTGCGGCAGTACTAAGGGTAAAGTCCTCTTGTGAGAACTGATGCCCTGTCTCAGATCTGGCCCCACGGAATTCTGACCTAAGAGTTCTCTGATGAGGGTGCTGGGTACTCAGCATCATCCTAGTCCTCTACCAACTACAGACCACTGACAGCCTCACACCCCAACCCCAAACCCCTCAAACACTGTAGATGCCCCCAAAGGAGGCAAAATCGCCTCCAACTGGAAATGACTAGGCTGACAAATAAAACTGAATAACTTGAAAAAGGACTGGCCTTCTGTATGTTTTATTAAAACTAGATACATGAAATACAGCAACCAGTGTTGACCTGCATGAGAAATTTTGAGAATAAAAAGACTAAAATTTAGAAACAAGCATCTATTTTAACATTATATGTGAATTAATCAAATAATTTCTAATATTTTGTGTATTTTTCTTTTGATTTAATATTTAGCAATTATTGAAATATTGATAGGTAAAAAGAATTCAGTAAGTGTGGGCTTGCTTTTTAAGAATTTACTAAAATTCATATAAAATTATCAATAGAATTATAAAATACAAAACATTATTAATCAATGTAACTAAACACAGAGGGTCATGGGTGAATTTGATGGTGACTTATATAGAGATGAAGACACAAGAGTCACTTCAGGTACTCAGAAGCTCAGAGTTGGTGGTAAGTGGGTATTTCATAACCCATTGATCCCCCTAACTTGTACTAACAGTGAGGAAAATGTTATTTAAAAACCCAGTAAGATATCTATGGTTCTTTTAAAATACAATTTCTTAAAACTATTTATTTAGAAAGAAAATTTGGAGTTGTGCTAGGGAGACAGCTCAGAGAGTAAAGTACTTGCTGTACAAGCATCAGAGCCTGAGTTTGGATCCCCAACAACCATTTCAATAGCTGAGTATGGCTGTACACACATGTAACCCTAGCGCATACATGTAACCCTAGTGTGGAGGTCTAAGACAGTCAGATCCAAGGAGCTCACAAGTCAGTTTAGAAGAAATGGTGAGCCTCAGGTTCAGTAAGAGACCTTGAGTCAAGGGAATAGGTGGAAAGTGAAAGAGGAGGGCACCCCACATCCTCCTGTGGTCTTCACTCAGTCAAGAGTGTACCCATACCACCATGTTTATACTCACATACACGTGCATGCCTGCAAAATCTTTTAAAAAATGATTTGTGGAGCCAGGCTTGGTGGTGCACACCTTTGATTCCAGCACTTTGGAGGCAGAGGCAGGTGAATCTCTGTGAGATTGAGATCAGATTTGTCTACATATCAAGTTCCATGCTAGCTATGGCTACAGGGAGACCCTGTCTCAAAAAACACTTTAAAAAAAAAAAAAAACCTTATTTGTAGGAACCAGAAAAAAATTTTAGTTCAGTACCTTCAAAATACATTTAACTTGACAAATTTTACCTCAGTAGTGATTGGAATATGTGCTTCCAAATAAGATGAGATCATTAAAAATATTTATTATAATCTTACCGTTTAACATGCTATGTTTAAAATAATTCTCAGAGAAATAATGGGAACTAGTTTTTTCCACAACAAAGACAGGTTCTCTTTGTGCTTCACACTACTCACAATTAGGGGAACGTGATGCACTTTTTCATCAGGCAAAATGGATTGTGACGGTTCTCTATGCCCCCCCTACCTGGCTGTAGCCTCTACTCTAAAATAATGCACAAAGTGTTTAGAAACTGAGTCACTAAGATCTTAGTAACTGTCATGGCCATGGGAATATTGAGGATAGATGGCACTGGAATAGTGCCCAGCAATATTTAGAACTCTAAAAGGCTGCACAGAAAGGGATAAAACTGAAAGAGAAGGGCTTGAAGCCATGGAGCAGTGGGTCACGGGGTCAGCACAGGCTCGGCCTCACCTTCACCGTGGTATAATTGCTGCTCTCTTGGACATGGATCAAAGTGCCACTCTCGCTCCGTGTCCTGAATTTTACTTCCAGACTGTTCACACCAAAAGGCTCCAACATGGTGTCCCGTAGGCTCTGTCTTAACAAGTATTCCCGTTTCTCAGTCTGGCTCATGTGGTAGTCCAGGCGTCCTTTGCCTTCAAATGATAGGGCAGTATCTGGAGTGACAGCTGAGAGCCAAGAAGAAAGAGAAAAAACCCAAATTAAGAATCAAATGCATCCATCATACCTCTTTAGAGCATTCTCTATAGTGGCAAAAAATAAAATAAAATAAAAAGGACAAAAAGATTTAAAGATTTTAGAATTGTTGTCTCCCCCCACAACCTTACTCTGAGAAAATAATTCCCATTTGTGAATAATTACATAAATGGATTTCAAGTAGTAAGTCCATTTCAGAAATAGGAAATGTAAAACACTCTAAGACAGACATTGATCACATGGCAGAGTGACAGAAATCATAGACATTTGAAGACACAACACAGTCACCTGTTGAAATGCCCAAGTGAAAACTGCAACCTATTTCACTGCATTTCTGGAATTTTTAACCTTTATTACTTTTAGTCTTTGAATTTTAGAAATTTTGACAAATACAAATGTCTGCTCAAGGTTTGTAACTATAACTAGCATTACCTTGAGTCACTGTCATGGATCACTTCCATTCTATCACACTCTGAGAGCAGGTTCCCAGTCCAAAAGTGTAGAAGCATAACTACCATAACCACTACTATAGCTCAGGCAGAGAAATGGATGAAATAGGATCAGAGGTAGCTGTACTGGGTGTTATATTTGGAAGAGGTTAACTGTACAAGGCAAACAACTCATTAAAGGAATATGTGGGGGCTAGAGAGATGACTCAGTGGTTAAGAGCACTGGCTGCTCTTGCAGAGGCCCTGGGTTTGATTCCCAGCACACAGTCCATAACTCAAGTTCCAGGGGATGTTAAAACCCTCTTCTGACCTCCACAGGCATTGCATGACATGGGTACACTTACATACATGCAGGCAGTATACTCATACACATAAAGTAAACATAAGAAATAAAAATTTAAAAAAGGAAATATGTGGAAACATACTACTATGTTTCCATTATATTCAAGATAATAACATAGTTACGCTTTCTGCTAGATCTTTTAGTTTATATTGTATCTTAAGTGTTATCATTCATTTCTCTTCATTCTCCTATTACAAGAGCAATTAATGTCTCCTTAAAAAGTAATCAGATGCCTGAGGGTGAATTAAATAATTCAAATTAAAGCAATTCTTTAAGGCAATTAAGGCAGTCCTGTTAGATACAAAGTTAAATAGAATACACAACTTGAAATCAAAGAACATTGTCTCCAACTGATGGCTTGAATATCATTAATATCTTAATAACAATAAGATCAGGTTATAAATAGGAAATCATTAATGAGGGGATTAAAAGTAATATTTTAAAACAATTCCAATTCATTAAAAATTAAAATGAAACTTGCTTTTCATTTTAACACTGTTTAACTGATACATGACATTTTTAAACTCCATGTTCGTTCTTTGATTTAGTGTGTAAATTTTTCTGCCAACTATAAAAAAATGATCAGAGAAATATCACCCAACAGTATATGATATTGATCAATAGCCTGAATAGTTTAAAACTGCCTATCATCCCAGTAGTAACATAAAAATGATCCAATGATACACTTATAAGACGAAGGCTAAATATTTAGGGAATAAATCTTTCTTTGAAAGGATGCCATTCATCTTCAAGTTAAAAAAATTTTGATGTCATTGTATTTTATGCAATTTTCACATTTAACATTCTCAATATTCAGAATGAAAAAAATGATTTTAAGCTGAGCATGGTGGCACACAAGTTTAGTCCCAGCACTTTGGAGGCAGAGGCAGGCAGATCTCTGTGAGGTCCAGGTCAGTCTGGTCTATATAGCAAGTTCCAGGCCAGCTGGGGCTACAGGGAGACACTGTCTCAAATACAAAACAAAGCAAAACAAAGCAACAAAACAAAACAAAATTAAAACACCACGAACAGCAACAAAAAGAAAAGATGATTTTAGAATGCAGTCATATATGTATGTGAGGTTTGTGTTTTCTTGGGGAGGCAGAATGCAGCCATGTATGTATGCATGAGGGGTTTGTGCTTTCTTGGGGAGATGGGATGAAGTCACGTATGTATGTGGGATTTGTGCTTTTCATGGGAGGTGAAACTTACACTTTTCACAGAGTTTCCCGGTCAGACCCTCGGAGCAGACACACTGTCGCCAGGACCAGAAGTCCACACACGTGCCTCCATGTTGGCAGGGGTTGTGAGCACAGGTGCCTTCCAGTCTAGGACACCTATAAGAAAACCACAGAAAAGAACCATTAAGCACAAAATGGTAAGAAAGGAGCTTTTCCAAACAGACACAGACTTTGATCAGTACATTTAATTCCAGGAAGGTATATAGCAGTTATAGGAAGCTCACTATTGAAACTAAATCACAGAAACCAATGATACAGAAACCTAGTAAACACAATCTGCCTTTGCCTCACACCACAATAGGTAGAGTAAAATACATGGAAAGTGGCTAAGTACAATCCTCTTTAAAGCACCTTGGTCCAGAAACACTTTGTTAACATGATCTGGGGTCACATATTTACTTCACTCCATGTGTACTCCACAGAGACATTCATAATTAAGGTCTATTTACTGCCCACTTATATGCCAAGTATTATATCAGACATGGACATAAAGTAATGAAAGAAATCCACATATTCAGAGTGAATGTCTTCCTGTGTGAATGACAAACAATAAAGAAAAGTAGAGGCATTATCTGCTAGAAAGAGACAATCTGTGAAAAGATTTAGAGTGAAAGGGGTTAGGAGGCTCCTTTATTTCTAGAATAGAGGTGTGGGAAGGGTGCTTTTGTATTGATACCCAAAGAAAGTAAGGATTTATAGGATCATTCCAAGCAAAGAAACAGCAATAAGAGCGTCCCACTGTGAACACAGATCACAGTATCAGAGAAACACCAGCGAAATGGAAGAGGATGTGGATAAGATCAGGAGTTAAAGGGCAGGCCATATCAGGAAAGCTCTGTCAGTCAAATAAGAACTTGACTTTGAGTCTCAACAGGAAGGAAGGAATGCTGTTTCATTTTGTGAAGAGAAATGACATGTTTCAAAAATGTCATCAGGTTGCTGTGAACTGGTTATAAATAAGGACAGAAAAGGAGATCTTAATCAGGAACCCAGCAGCTATGGCTAAGTAGATTTTCATCCAAAATATGTACACAATATATATTTTAAGAGAAAAATAAAGTATAATATCTCAAAAGTATTTGAGTGAACATGAAGAACAATATAGTAGGGAGTCCACCAAAGGACTGGTGGGGGTCAGCAATCACACTTTGTTTCTCTGAACTATTAAGTGCACTTGTGTCATGCAATGCTTGTGGAGGTCAAAAGAGGGCATCATATTCCCTGGAACTGGAGTTACAGATGGTTGTTAGCTGCCATGTGTGTGATGGGAATAGAACCCCGGTCTTCGAGAAGAGCAGCAAGTGCTCTTAACAGCTGAGCCATCTCTCCAGCCCTCAAATTAAGTTTTATGCATACCTGGTAGTTATCATTTATAAACAATGCACCAGGTTCCTTTCATATGAGATGTGCACTTGACTCTTTAGCTTACAAACAACTCTTTAAGACAAATAAAAGCACACACATTCATGCACACACACACATACATATTTTCTTAGTCTTCAGAAAATAGTGTTATTCTAATCGAATATCACACTTTGGGTTAGAAAGATGCTGTAATCCCAGTACTGGGGCAGGGGGCAAGGAGGATCTCTGGGGCTCATTGGCCATCCAACCTAGCCTACTTGGTGAAATTCAAGCAAATGAGAGCCCTGTCTTTCTTAATACAGTTAAATTTTTAAGAATTTCATACATGTGTATTATATGTACATCATTTCCAACTACTCCATTTCATCCTATTTCCTCTCAAATTTGTGATCTTTTATTATTACTGTTACACACACACACACACACACACACACACAACCTAAGTCCCTTTAGTTGTGCTCATGTGTACATGTGTTTAGGACTGACCATTTACGATTCGATAACCTGTCAGGTAACTAGTTCCTGGAGAAAACTGATTCTCCTTCTCTCAGTATCCATTGATTGCCTGTAGCCCTTCATGTAGAGGTGAAACTTTATGAAATTTCCCCCATCCTCTATGGCATGTCAAATGGTGGTATCATTATGTAGTTCTTGTTTAGGAAACCATATTGTAGAGATTTCATGAATACAGCTTTCATGTCATGTCTGGAAGATACTGTCTTACCAGGTAGGCATCAGTATCCTCAGGCCTTTACAATCTTTCCACCCCCTCTTCTACAATGTTCCCATAGTGTAAGGATTGCATTTTAGATATATCGTCTGGAGATGGGCACCCCATGGGAAGAGACCATGTCTTTAAAAACAGGGTGGACAGCTCCTGAGGACTGACAACCAAGACTGTCTTCTGGACCTGACACACATGTATAACTACACACACCCACAAAAACACAAACATATATACACTCATATGAACACAAATCTCAGTTTAAGGCCAAATAACATTTCTCAGCTAGAAATAAATATTTAATATGTAAAAATATTGAGTATCTGTAGGAATTTGGATAAATTCATCTTTTGATGCTCAGTAATTACTTTTGCATTTGGTTAAGTTTTAGAGAACAAGAGACTGAAGAGTAAATGTCCCTGGATAAGACTTCTGTATTAAACCTCATGGACCCACAGCTCAGAAGAAAGAGTGGAAAGATTGTAAGAGCCAGGGTTGGTGCATAAACATAAGGAAACAGAGGCTTTTTTCCCCCCTTGGTTTTCTGAGACAGGGTCTCTAGGTAGCCCCAGATGGCCTAGAACTCACTATATAGACCAGGCTATCCTTGAACTCACAGAGATCTTCCTACCTCTTCTTCCCAAGTGCTGGGACTAAAGGTGTGTGCCACCACTCCCAGCTGGAAACAGAATTTCAGACCACTGGAAACTTGTTCATATTAACTTGCAACAACGGTGACAGCATGTACAAGACCCATGCTGACTGGGCCAAAAAAATCAGCCTAGAATGAGGGGCAGCAAGCCCCAATCCTAGCCAAGGAACTATTGGCAAATAATTACTGTGGGGTGAGGGAGAGTAGAGCTTCTTTAAAGGCTAAGTAGAGTCCAGTGGATGAACTTGCACCCTAGGTCATCTTGGTATAAATGCTTGGCCAGATAGGACTTAAGATATAGGACAGAGTGCATGAAACTGGTGGGGGAGTATGGGTGTGTGTGGATGAGGGAGGGGGTCTAAATTTGATTAAGAACTATTATGTGAAAGGCATAAATACTCAATTTTTTTTTAAATGTAAGAAGTAGACTCTTACTGATCAAGAATGCCTTGTGCCGCCAAAGCCTGGCTGGGCTCCAGAGGTCTTCCATTGACTGCAAATTCCATTATGCAGCCCACAAAGTCGTGACTCTCCACATGTCCCCTCCTCTGAAGAATTGGCTCTAGGGATCTGATTCCTCCAACTGTGACTCGATTTGGCTGAACATCAAGAGTCCTATGTGAAAAAGGAAAGGTCAGGTATCAATACCATCAGAAGACATTTGAATTATCACTTGACTTAAAAGGAATGAGCATCCCAAGTCAACACCTGTTTTCTATGCAGAGACCTGCAGAAGTACCTGGTATTCATATTATAAAAATACTGAAACTTGTAAAATTATATTTTAAATTTGCCAAATTGGATGTATGATGTTGTCAGGAAGAATGAGCATCCTACTGAAGAAATGTACAGAAGCAGTGACAACTTTGATACTAAGGTCAGATTCTGTTCTTTCTCTACAGAGATGCCAGCATGCTGACAGTTGCAATGGATAATGTATCACTCTGTATCTATACTTCCTATTGTTCCTGATAAAACTGTTTAAACTTTTGATTGGCCAATGCTGTGGCTCAGTTCTAGGTGTTATTAAAAAAATACACCTTAAATGCTACATATGTATCTGAAAGAGTCATGATGAGCACCCTACACTTCTTGCAGAGCTAGGGTGCCAAGCAAGTGTTTTATGAAGAAAATATTAAACAGCTCTAGATATATTAAACATTGTTTTCCTTAGTTTTACCCTCAAATTTATCAATACAAGACTTTAAAAAAAAACATTTATTTTTATTTATTTATTTATTTATTTATCTATTTATTTATTTATTTTTGAGACAAGGTCCCACTATAGCCCCAGGTACTGGGAACTCTCTGCCTCTGCCTCCCAAGTTCTGGACTAAAGGTGCGTGCCTGTGCCACCATACCCAACCAGTTCATGACTTTTAACATAACATTAACATAATACTGAAGTGATTATTAGCTGTTTTATAGTATGAACATCACTTTGAAGGAGTATACTATTATGCAAATTTTATATTATTTTAAATTCACGTATATCTTAATTTCACATAATGATAAGAATAATGCTTTGGGTTTTACTTACCAATCATCTGAAACTGCCACATTACTGACAGTGCAATATCCTGGCTCTTGGTTCTCAGAACAAGAATCCACAGTTAAGGAAGCTGCCTGTAAACAAGAGAGGGAGGCAGTTACAGTGGGCCCTATGGACACAATGAACCTTCCCAGCTATCATCACCTGCATGCATTTGTAACCATACAGAGCTAATCTTGAAGGTATGATTACTATGATTACTTTGATTTAATGTATATAATAACAAACCATTTAACTTACTATACATGTTAACTTATGGGCTTGTTATCTCCCTGATTTCCCTAAATCATAATTACCATTACACATAAGATGTAGGAGGCTGCTTGTAAAAAACTCCCTTCCTGCTCTCTTGTGTTATATAAGAAGGAGTTCAGAACATGGCATTAACTTTCCTAGAACTCACAGTGATTCTGGGACAACTCCATAGCACTATAATTTTGTTTTGTTTTTGCTTTTTGAGACAGGGTCTCCTTCTAGTCCTAGCTGACCTGAAACTTGAAATGTAGACCAGGCTGGCCTGGATCTCACAGACATCTGTCTGCCTCTGCCTCCCAAGTACTGGAATTAAGGGCACGTGCCACCATGTAGCAAGGGGCTACAATTTTAATAAAACTAATCCAGTATTCTAATAAGCAAAAACAGATTCAAATTTTCTTTCAAAAATTTATTCTGTCAGTCATATTTAGAAGAAGATTATGAAGACACAGTATATATAGTATAATGGCAATTTGTGAAATTATGACAGCAGTTTATGTTCCTTTAGTACTTGTATTAAAGTTGAACACTGTGACAAAGTAGAAACATCAAATATATGCCAACATTCATGTTAAGAATGATTATTTTGGGGCTAGAGAGATGGCTCAGCAGTTAAGAACACTGCTCTTGCAGAGGACCCAGGCTCTATTCCCAGCATCCACATGGCAGCTAACAACCATTTTTAACTCCAGTTCCAGAGAATCTAATGCCCTCTCTGACCTCTGAGGGTATTGCACCACATGGGTGCACCCACCTATATGCAAGCATTACAATCATACACATAAAATAAAAATAATAAATAATGAAAAAGAATTGTTTTCAAATGACATTAGCCCATGCCTGTATCAACAGAATGCATTGCTACACAGAAAAAAACCTCTTATTGTTTTACAAGCTATTATATGAAGTATTCATTGTAGAGACCACTAAAGTTCATAAACTAGACAGCATTTTATGACTATCAATGAATAGTCTAGGAACAAGGAAAATAAGCAAATAGTATTATATGTTGGGCATTCTTAAGATATAATATTTTTTTCTACTTTGTAAAAAGCTTGGCACTAAAAATCAAAGAAAGAAAATGTGAAAGGATGATTAATTTGACTAGCAGTTCATGCAATCAGAGTTAAATGCTTCTTTTACTGTTGAATTTTCCAACCAGCACTGCTGTAAACTGAGATGTCTCTCGCCTGTCTCCACAATGATTAAAAGCTTTAGAGCCTAATGTTTTTGCCAGTTTCTAACAAAATTATTTGAAATGCAAAAAATAACAGATTCAATGTCCAGGAAGAGCTTTCTTTGGATATTTTCTGAAATAAGGGTATGATTTTCCCTATAACTGAATTAATAATGACAAAAGCATTCATTTCACATTTATTGTTATTTAAATCTTGCTGACCATGGTCAGGCTATGGCCTTCACAATGGGTCAACAGCCTCAGCAGGCTTCACAGCTGTGTCCCCACCACTGTTCCACATTTTCAAAGCCTGCATCATTCTTCTTGTCCCCTCATATGTGGAAATAGTTCTGCTTTTAAAAATTGTTTAAATCCCACTTAATGTCATAAATTTGTGTGGGGAAGGATGGAGATATGGATCAGTTAAGACTGCTGGCTACTCTTGCAGAGGGCCCTAGTTCAATTCCTAGCACCCATATGGCAGCTAACATCCATCTGTAACTCCAGATCAAGGAGATATGAAGTCCTCTAATGACCTCCACAAGTAGTGCATGACATGGGTGCATTTACATACACGCAGGCAATATACTCATACACATAAATAAAAATAATAATTTATAAATTATTATGGGGAAGAAAATTGTATAGATTCAGGAAGTGCTACGAGAACAGAACTCCCCAGTAGTAGGAGGCCTCTCATCGACACTGGCCAGAAAATTTAGCATTATTTGACATTGCTTTTGTCGTGTCTTTAAGAAAATTAGCAATTACAGGGGCACGAAAATTTTGGCTTTAAAATGAACAAAGGGGGTTGTAGCAAGAACATTTAAGGATGTTTTAAATGGTTCTGGATGTGGCTTATATGCATTCACAAAATATGAAGAAATGCAAAACATTAGGAAAAATACGTGTTTCATCAGATGAAAGAATGCTTTACTTGGTGCATCTCAGATCAATATACCCCATCAAATCTTATGGACTGTCACAGATTCAGTGTTAAACTTGGTCATTAAGATCCCAGGTACGTTTATTAAAATGATTTTAAGAATGCTAATTTTGCAGGGCTGGAGAGATGGCTCAGTGGTTAAGAACATTTTGTTGTTGTAGAAGAACCGGGTTCAAACCACAGCACCCACATGGTGCCTAATAACTGTCTGTAATAACTCCAGTCCCAGGGAATCCTACAGCCTCTTCTCACCTCCGCGGGCACTGCACAACATGGGTAAACTTACATGCAGGCAATACATGCATACACATAAAATAAAAAAATAAAACTTTAAAAAAGAATGCTAATTTTGTTGTCTTGCCTAATTTTCCTTTTTGGTGAGTAATTTAATATTTTAACCATTTCTAATCACTTCATAGGGCAAATTTTAAATCTTAAATAACAATTTCAATTTCAAAAACTCCAGGTTATAAAGCACAGAAACATTTTAAGATGGCATTTACTTATTTAAAAGCCCCTGATAGCTGTTGCAAATGGAGATGCTATAAAGAAATATTTGGGAGGACTGACAAATAAACTCCACTCTGTCATGTTGCATATGAGAGGTTTTCAGACACTGATAGGGAAAACATTATGTAATCTCCACTGAAAAGAAAAACAAATAACAAAAAATTTTAAATGTCATTATTACAATGTTAAAAACATAAAAATGGAAATATAGATTTCTTCCATATGAAAGACTTGTAAATCCAAGAAGACAACAAGGTATTTTAGAAAATGCTTCCCAACACCCTACCATACCATAGAACTCATGGTGCATCCCAATATAGTATTCCATCATGGACCTCAGGGTAAATCTTAACAACACTGTCTTATAGCATAGACCTCTCAGTTTGTCTTAACAGTGTTGTATCATTGACCTCACAGTTCATCCATTTCATAAGCTTCACAGATGACCACATAATAAGGTAGAATAAGGCTGACAAAGAATTGTTCTATTTTTCATAAGTATTAAGTTGTAGGAATAATTTTTACAATATGGACATAATTTGGTTCAAAGACTTTTACCTAACCTTGCAACCAAAAAGGATACTTTTTATAAAGTAAACAAGTTCACTGAACCAGGTGCTCCTCTTATGACTTGGCCACATGACCTTAATCCTTAAGGACTGCACTTTGCAGTCCACCCAGATAATGAGTGAATGTGGGTGTGCTTGTTTACCATATCAAAGCACTGAAAGCAGCCTGGCTTTCCCATTGAAAACAGTGAGAAAAATGGAGATGTCTGTGTGGGGGAAGTATTTTAGATGTAGGAATGAAAGGACAAGATTGACTGATGAGAATGGATCCCAGCTTCTCCTTTCTCAATCAATGTTGGAAATACTACTTCAGTAAACGAGCACAGGTTCATGAGACACCTGAAGGAACAAGTGACTTTCAGAGTTCAGATCCACTCTTGGCCTTAAAACTAAATGCTAAGTCAAGTTGTTTATTTGTGGATAACTATAATGTGGCTTAGAAAAGGCACATTGAATGTCTTTTTTTCATAAACTAGTTTGTAGAAAGAATTCTTCCCTTTGTTCTTACATTGTTTTTGCATTTAGGGCAATGGCATTTCATTAAGAAAAGCCATTTTAAATACAGTCCTAACATAGCCTTACAAACTCCTAGGAAGTATAGAGTAACACAAGTCAAAGAAATATGTCACTTATAGGCCATGTTTGTCAAAACGTCAATAAGCATACTATCATTTAATGTGAACCTCCATTCATGCCTCCCTAGGAGGTCTGATAATGGAAGATGGGAATCTCACCGTTCCTGCTCGCCGAGCGATTACAGTGTGGAAGTGTCCATCTGACACCTTCTTCATGGTGGTGAGTTTATATGTCCCACTGCCTAAGTTGTAGGAGAATCTGAGCCTTTCTTCAGCAATTTCAAGAGCCAAGAACTCTGCCCGGTCCCCTGTCTGGTTGTCGTAATTATAAAGCAACAAAGCATGACTTTTAATAGTTGCAAATTTGACATAAATATAGTTGTTATTGGGGTCCAAGCTGGGAAACTCCATATATGAAAGTTCCTCAAATCCATAGCTGTTCAGTTCGCAGTGCTTCCCAAAGACACCTGCAGATGAGGAAAAAGATGAACCAAAAGTGAATTCCAGCAGAATTTTCTTGTGCTATATAATAATAATGAATCATGCTATTTACAATTTCTTTATTTTTCTTCTTTCTCCAAATGTTGTTCAATGTAAAATGGAACCAGCACAAACTCCTGCTCTGATAATGGTGGAGCTCTTGAGCACTGGAGGCCCTGGGTTCCACCTGCAGTACTGAAAAAAGAAGAATCAAAACTATACAACTTAGAAGAGATCTCTCTTCTAAGCTGATATTGCTGGTTGCTAAGTTAGGAATTTATTTAAGCTTGCCTCTATTTTAAAAATCAAAGGCACAGTGGAATGGAGTGTGTTTGCAGAGAGCTCTTTCCAGAAACACTTTAAAAATTAGTTTGTTGATCTTCATGAATTTTAAAATACTTTAATATTCACCGAAGAGGAATGTATCTTTAAATACCATTTCAATTCAGTTGAAGATGGTCAACTTAGTTCTGACTTGAAAAAACAGTCTTCAACTCAATGACATTTTCCAGGGTCACAAAAAGACAAAAAAAGGCTGGAGAGATGCTCAGTGGTTAAGAGTACTGGCTGCTCCTGCAGAGGACCTGGGTTCAGCTCCCAGCACCCACATGACAGCTAACAATAACCCCAAACTCCAGTTCCAGGGGATGTGATGCCCTCTTCTGACCTCTGTTAGCCTTGCATAACATGGATGCACTTACATATGTGTAGGCAATATATTCACACACATATAATAAAAAAAATAAACAAAATGAAGAGTCTCTACCTACAGTGTGGGTAGTTGCTGTTTTAAGTTTTTATCTCCTTTTTGTGTTATATTTGCCTTGAGTTGATTTACAGAAGGCTGCTTTAGAGTGGCTTTTTTGTGTGTGTGAAAAATCAATGTTTCCATTTGTTTATGCTGCTTCTTTTTCCAACTTGAAAAGTAAGTTTTATTGATGTTACAATACCACGCCAAAATTCTTTTCCCACAAATATCAGTAGACTATGGGGCAAATGATTGGAAAATTAACCCATGCCAACACATCAGGATTTTGAGTCACTTTCAAAAGGTTCAGTTGCTTAATTTTAGCTTAATATCTATTCTAAAATGCATTAAATTTAGAGTAGGGGAATTTTTCAGCTCAAAGAAATGAATGTCACTATTTTACAGAGTATTTAAAACTTTACCAAAGTTACAGAAACATGGGAAATAAAGAAAAAATTTAAAGCCAGATACACTGATTTTTGTCTAATTGTTTTGACGATATCACATTTTATATCCAGACATTCTTTAAGTTAAAATAGCCCAGAAGCTGCTATAAAGTCTAGTATCAGTTATCTTGTCATTTTCTGTCCAAGCTGAGATAACGGTCATCAAAATGGCCAGAAAATATACACATCTTATTGTTTTACCTCTTAAATCAGTGTTAAAACAGGACAAAGGGATGGATCACGGGGATGATTGATGTTCTATGTAATATTATTTATGGTATAGATGTGTTTTATATCATTAATTTATAACTACTACATACTACTTATATATTTACTTGTTAAGTAATTTATATTAATAAACTAATGGTTGTTTGCATTAATCAGAAATTGGTATCTATACATTATTACTACAAGTAAAAAGAGTAACTGAAGGTAAATAACAAGCAAAGATAGATAAATTAAACAATGAATTGAAGGAAACTAGCACTATGTGATTCTTTAGGTCATCTTTTATTACATTTTAATTAATATACAAAAATTGGATAAAATAGTATTTAAATGAAGTATAGATACTGTAACTATTTGGTTTATCTTTTTATTCAAATTGATACTGTATATTCAAATATGAAATTATGTACACAGAGTCTTGTCTTTTAACTATAATGATAAAATTTAATGAGGTTTTAAAGTTTGCCTTTGAAAAACTGATCAAAATAAACAGATAAAGATCAAGAGAAATCATAAGATTTCTTTAAAGATATCTGCTTCTCAACATCCTTTACTAGTCATTTATATTTAGCAATTATGAATGTATATATGAATTATGTGCAGAACTACAGTAAGCTATATATATGTAAATGCACAGTATTTCTTATAGCAATTTTAATTTGTAGGCTATACACATGTATAGTATCTGCATTCATGTGTGACATATTGCATATATAATAATGAAGTTTTAAGAACTAAAAACTCATTCCCAGGCTATGCTGTCTTGTGAATCTGAGGCACATTATTTTTTCTAAAACACAATCTAATATATATATATATGAATAAATCTAAAAATATATTGAAAATCCAAAGAGCACATCCTTGACTGATGAGAATGTAAACAGTACAATTTTTTCCAGCTTCAAAAGTGTGGTGAAGCTGGTCTTCCTCAGGCTGCATGTGTCACCAACCAGGTGTTTATTCCAGGCATTTCCATGAGGTGCACATGTCCCTGCCTAGGGTCTCTCTTTGAGGCATTCCATCTGCCACTACATTTGTATGTATCACCTGTGTTTAATTTGAGAGGGAAAATTATATTTCCTTTTAACTCAATTGTTGCAGCGTGGAATGATGTATGGAAATTTCAAGGCTTTTTACTTTGTTTTCCTTTCTAAATGCATCTATGGTTAGCTGATATTGTGTAAATTTCAATAGTACTTTTGTGTTTTGCCACTGGAAGGAACTGGGTGGGAATCTGGACTGCCAGCTCTGTGTCTGCTGTTATTTACAAAGTCCTATGTGTCCTCCCCAGGGATGTTGGCCAGGGTGAGGGAAGATCTGTTTGGACTCCAAGGTCCACACTCCGCAAAAAGAAAAATAGTGTCTGCTGCATCAATATCCCGCAGAAAAATTTCTTGCTACTTGGTATTGATTGTTCTAAATACTCTGCTAACCGTGTAAACACTTCTATTCAGGCACTTGAATATAATTTTCCACTTTCTACTCCAATCTATTTTTCTTTCATTCCAAACACAAGATAAACCATGAAGCCTGACTGTGAGATCTAAAATAAGGGGGCTCGTTTAGAGTTTGTGAGAACATCAGAAGAAAGGTTTCAGGAGATCTGAGGTGGGCAGTTTTCACTCTGACAGACCTTTACTGTGAGCATTTTGATGCTTACAGTATCAGTATCATAAAGCAATGTTAAAGAAGGGGAATGCCAGTGATGTTCACAGACCTCATGCAAACAGTTTCTGTGTTCTAGCCATGCCATCTTGGGGTACTTGAATGCTAATTATTTTCTGACTTAAGTAAATCACTTAATTTCTGAGCCTCAGAATCATTGATAAAATTGATGGTTCACTATTAGTATTATCAATATTATCATGTTTGGGGGGGCATCATGTGCGTCACAGCATGCCTGCTCAGGTCAGGGGACAACCTCTGGCAGTCCATTCTCTCCACCATAGGTTTCAGGAATTGAGCTAAGGTTGTCAGAGTTGCTCAGCAAATGATTGTATGCACTGAGCCATCTCATCAGCCCCATAATTATGTCTTTATATTCTGTTTCTGACGTTCTTCCCAGGTTGTGCTTACTTGAAGAATGAAAACTAAATAAGAGTGTTGGTTGTTTTGTTGTTGTTTTGGTTTCTGTTTTGTTTTTGTTTTGTTTCTCAGTGAACAGCACCTGGTGCGTTTCACCTGTGACTAAAAACTGAAGTTCTCTCTCAGACCAAGCTATCCTAGGAAAACAGGAGGAAAGGCCAGAAAAACAACCTTCATCCCTCATCCTTAGAGAAAGAGATGAGGCCTCCTGTAGATAGAGTCTAGGTGAATCCTCCTCACAGGTAGAGTAACCTCAAATAAATGGAATAACCACAAAGTTATTGTAAAAGTTTCCACCCAAGCTGTTCACATAGTCCCAGCCAGGCCCATTTCTGAGTGATGTTTGAGGGCCAACTGGACAGACTTCTTTGTCCTTCCACTAAGGGAGTGAGTAGGCACTGCACAAAGCTCCTTAGCAGCTTTCACTCTCATTGGTCTGCATTTTTATCCGGACAGACTTCTTTGTCCTTCCACTAAGGGAGTGAGTAGGCACTGCACAAAGCACAAAGCTGTTCACATAGTCCCATTTCTGAGTGATGTTTGAGGGCCAACTGGACAGACTTCTTTGTCCTTCCACTAAGGGAGTGAGTAGGCATTGCACAAAGCTCCTTAGCAGCTTTCACTCTCATTGGTCTGCATTTTTATCCATTATTCAGAATTATCTACAAAAGCCCATTGTGGAAAATAACTACTTAGTTCCTAAAACAAAATATTTTGACTTTTCTTAGATATTTGAGATAGGGAATGAGGTCAAATAGTGCTTGGAGGATATTTTAATTAATAAGTTCTAGGCTAAAAGGAAGGTACCCATATGCACTTGAGGATTCATGTCCTATAAAGACAGCACTGATTCAAATACCTTGGGTTGATTTTTTTTTTCTATAATCACTAAAATGATGTATCAATAGCATTTCCATAATTAATCTTTAAAATGGTTAAACATTAAAGATTTTATTTACCACAACCTCTTGTACAAAACCATTAATATTTTCTTAATCACTATTGACCATAGTAAGAATGATAAATTAGGCACTAAAATAAAATGCCATTTTTTTGTTGTTGTTCTTTGAGACGGGGTCTTACATAGCCTCATTTGGCCTCAAACTCCCTTTGTATTCAAACATGACATAGAACATCTATCCTTTCGCCTCTATCTCCCAAGTGCTGGGATCACAGGAGCGCACCACCATGCCTAGATTATGAGGTGCTAGGGATCCAACCCAGGGCTTCATGCATGCAAGGCAGGCACATAGCCAACCGAGCTATAGCAGCAGCCCCTAGACTGACAGAACAATGAAGCTGTACTCACCAAACGGACAGTGGCAGTAGTAGGACTCCACACCACTCTGACAGGATCCACCATTGAAGCAGGGGTTGCATTCACAGTAATTGACAGAAGATTCACACATTTTTCCTAAAAATACATTAAACTTGTAAAGAAAATGCAACATACATGCACTAATAGCACTGAAGTTGACTACATGAGAAACCCCATCCTGAAAGACCATAACTCAGAGATGAGAAAGAAGAAACTTGACTCCACAACAGAGCATGCACTCATGTCTCAGAGTTGAATAACTCACTTAGATGTGCTTTATAAAAATATATGTAATACATAGGGAATAATTTCATAATCTTAGAGAAAACCCTGTTTTCAGGGAAACAGTGTAGTGAGTATATCTGAATGGTTCCTCTGCATTCATTTCCAATGCTGATGTTCACTCCGTCACCTTTGACACTCTGGGGGTGGGGAGCTGAACCTTTCAGAGTATTTTTCATTATAAAATGTTGACTCAGATTTCTTAAGGGAGAAATTAGTATTGTTTAGCTTGTCAAACTACATCTTTTCCCTGTTAAAAAAGTGTGCCTGAATTTATTACATAATTTGTGTAAAACATAATAAGAAATGAAATACATCAAACATATTTTCAAATTCCTCTCAATGTTTTTTCACTAGTAGATGATACACACTTTTTCTGAAAGGATAATATTTATGCCCCACATTTTCAGTACGTCAATATTGTTCTCCGACATCTTGTAGAATCAAATAAGTTATATGGACTGAGTGTGTATGGACCAGGCATGGGAGTGGATGGGGAAATGGAAGAGGAAAAACAGACAAGTGTCTTAGCATGGTGCACCATCTTTGTAACAGCAGAAATAACCCCACATAAAAGATAGAAGCACAATTCATAAGTGAAGGGGTCCTTAAAAGCTGTGAGCTTAGCATTGGCTGTCAAATTGGTAGTATATAGAGTTACCTGTTTCCATACTGGGTTCATTGAGGTAGGAAGACCCACTCTAAATGTGTGTGCCACCATCCCATGGGCTGGAGTCCAGGATTAAATAAAAAGTGGAAGATGGCTGAGCACCAGCATTCATCTCTCTCTCCTTCCTGACTGTGGGTACAATATGAGCAGTTGCCTTCTATCATGACTTCCCTGCCATCATGGCCTGTGAGCCAGAACAAACCTTTGCTTCTTTAAGTTGCTATTTTTAGTTATTTTAACACAGCAATAAGAAAAGTAACTAATCTGGAAGCCAATTTCTTGCCTGAGAAATGACAAAACCATGGCACAGACCAGGCGAGCTCTGCTGATTCCATATTCAGTTTTCACACAGCTGTGACTGAGTCTTCCATCTCTTGGTGGCCAAAACAGCATCTAAATCCTGTCTTGTAATGTTGTTTGTCTTTATAGAAAGGTTAATAGCTCTTCTATAAAGTAGATTTTAATGTGTTTATTAGAGTAATTCCTACTTTTCCAATTCTAATGAACTGTGAAACATTATCATTTTTAGGTAATTTCCATTTATTAAAAGTAGGATCTTGGTAGCCAGGCATTGCAGTGCACACCTTTAGTCCCAGCTCTTGGGAGGCAGAGGCGGGTGGATCTCTGTGAATTCCAGGCCAGCCTGGTCTACACAGTGAGTTCCAGACCAGCTAGGGCTATAGGGAGACCGTGTCTCAAAAAGAGGAAAAAAAAAAAAAAAAGAAAGTAGGATCTTGTTAGTGTAAGGGCTTCAGGCTTCGTGTGTGTGTGTATGTGTGTGTGTATGTGTCTGTGTGTGTGGTGTGTGTGTGTGTGTGTGTGTATGCAAATGTACCTGCATGTGTGAGCATGCACATGTGAAGGCCAGAAGTCAATGTCATGAGTCTTCCTTGATAGTTGACCAGCTTATTTTTTCAGATAGGCTCTCTCATTGAACTTGGAGTCCAGTAATTCAGCTGGCTGTCATCAGCTCCAGTGATCTGCCCGTCTCCACCTTCTCTGCCCTGGGGTTACAGATACAAGTGTCCATAGCCAGCTTTTTATGCAGCTACTGGAAAATGAACTCAGGTTCTCATGACTTGGGCAGCAGGCACTTTACAACTAAGCCATCTCCCCAGCCTTTAATTTTTGTCTTCAGTACTAGATATTGAACTTAGAGTCTACTGCATGCTAGGTAAGCACTCTACTGAGCTGCACTCCAGCCTTCTATAACGCTATCTTCTATTTCCCAAAGTGCATGTACATCTTACCCACACAGCCAGACAATACTGAGTGTAGACAATGCATTACATCATAGTAACTTTGCTTAAAACACATCCAAAGTTTTTGTTTAGCTCAGTTTGTTTTTGTGGCTTATTTCTGAAGCCACAGTTGTTCAAGTCTGACATTATAAATCTGAGTCAGGTCTTGTGGCGCTGCTGAGCCATTTCTGTGCATCACAGAAACACAAACACAGCATTTTTCCTTCATAAACAGCATTGGTCACATCTTACAAGGCAAATCACACAGCTAACATTTTCATAATGTTCCTGAATTCTAAGGGGAGGAGATGAAAATAAACAATTTAGAGGCATCAAAATTAGGTTGTAAGTGTGGCTGGAGTGAGATGCAGGCCAGACCACTTTACTCTAAGTTTGTTCTGAATGTCACACCACAGCAGCTGTTTCTTAGAAGCACTTTGTTCTACCTTGCTTTCCAACTGAATAAAGGACACACAGTTTTAGAAGTGTGGTTTATTTTTTCCTTATTACAGTACCATCTTTTCCCCATAGAGATTTAAATAAGACCAATTGGATCAAGTGTTTCTTATTTATTTCCCATCAAGAAAGTCACATCATTCCTTTCATTCATTTCTTTCACTATGAGAGAAGACATGGTTCACATGTGCTGAGGGAGTAAGCACCTTTGACTTCCTACTTCCTTTCTTTCTCTGAATGCTGCTGTTACAGCACTGCTAAAAGTAGTATATGCCTTATATATGTAGATAGTCAAGATCAGCTTCATATCTCAGCAACACATTGGTGGGTTACAAACTACAAACCTCCCTTCTTAAAGACAAGAGACTCAAGGCCTGGACTATCAAGAATTTGGGCTTCCGTGCTCTCTAAAAAACAGTAGGAGTTTAAAACTCAAGTTGTTGATCCTGTGAAATTCAACTCTAAGGGCTGGAAAGATGGCTCAGTAGTTAAGAACACCTTCTGCTTTTCCAAAGGCTGGAGTTGGGTTCCCAGTTCCCTTGTCAGACAGCTCACGACCTCCTGTGGCTCTAGCACCAGGATGTCTAATGGCATCTTCTGAATTCTGCAGGCACTTATGCTCACAGGCACATATCCCCATAGAGACATGCACACATACATGGAATTAAAAATACAGCTTTAAAAAATAAGTTCAACTCTAACTTGTTTCTAATCCTGCTGTAAATACCACCTTTTAAAGTTTATATTTAAAAAACAAAATAAATTCTGGTGTTTTCTTTTGTGTATGTGTGTTTTATATATTCCTTATCACTTAACTGTGGTACTTTCACATAGACATCTGAGTCTAATTTAAATATAAGCTTCAGGCTATTTCCATTAGTTCAAAGAGGAGTGGGAAAACACCCTAAAATGAGCACGATTTACTCATTCAGTTAAAAATATACAGTGACTACAGTAGTGGCCGAAGTTGCAAGAATTTAAAAATATGCTGAGGATGAGTATCTTGAAAATGTCTCATTCTTTAATTATACCATTACAGACATGTAAAATTTTCATAGAAAACAAATTCCATTTTTCATTCAGCATTTTAATTTAAAGAAGTTTCATTTTCTTGGCATTTTTATTAGGAGACAATAATAAAATATATAAAGTAGCTTAGTGAGGAGTTAAATAATGAAAATTATTACTGAGTTTGGCAAATAATACTCTTCTTTTTCCCATTAGAGTATATGAATTATTTTTCATTTGAAAAATTTAGTTTTGAGTTCTCCGTTTGAGTAAAACGTATTTAAAATTCATCATCCCAAAGAGTTATCACACTAAATTAAAAAACACAGTTTGAAAACCCAATGCTTAAGTTTAAATTAGTACTTAAAAGAACCTTTGTCTTTTGTGTGAGGAAAGGGTTTCATGATTTTTTTAAAAATATTTTATTTATTATTTTTTATGTTTATGAGTGTATTGCCTGCATGTATGTGAGTGCATCCGTGTAATGCAGCACCTTGAAGGTCAGAAAAGAGCTTTGGATTCCCCTGGAACTGGAGTTAAGGACGGGTTCTTAGCCACCCTGTGGGTGCTGGGAATCGAACTCGGGTCCTCTGCAAGGGCAGTCAGTGCTCTTAACTACTAAGCTATCTCTATTTTACTTGAAATCTAGAGAAAGCCACTGAATGCATGCTCCTCAGGTTTGGAATGCTCATACTCTGTTACTCAACTAGAAACTGACAGCAAACTCCGAATTGTTCTGCGTAGGTCTGCAGATAAAATGCCACCATTAATGACCTAAGGATAGCCAGAGAGCACAACTCACTGAGCATGCTCCTGGTGTGATATGCTGATGTTACAGCACTTTCAAACAAATTCTTGCAACTCAATTAGAAATTCTTGACAGTACCTTGAAGCTTGGCAGTGCTCTGACAAGACTTGTTCAAAGAAAGAATCCAGCTTCTGTAATTCAAAGAGTCATTTCTCTTAGGATGTGTTAAATGTCACAGCAAGTGTTTAGAAGAGCAAATTAATTTCACTGCTTTGACAGCTGTCCATTAATTGTGCTGACATTCACTATTTATCATAGACAGATGGAGAGGTGCTTCAGGTTGTAAAGATTCTGAGCATGTGGGGAATGGGAACTTCCAAAGATGGAAATAAATTCATGGTAGTTAGGTGAGTATCCACATAACTTCCAATTTAACTTGTAATTATAATTATTATTATGTATTTAATATTATAATTATATAATTATAGTAATACCTATCATTATAGAATTTATAATTTAAACTTATAGAAAAGACCTAGTTAAATCTGCCTGATATGGGGCAGAAGATGGGAGGATATGTTGAACACAAACTGACCCTGTTGGGATTGCCTGCATTTAACAAGGCAGTCTTCAGGGTTTGCTTGTCTAGATTCTACATCTTTTTGTTAGATAACTGGAGTGCAGCTAAGCT